GGCGTGTGAGTTGGCGGGGAGGGGGGGCATGTAGCCGGGTGGCGTGGTTTTTTCTACCTGGTGTCGTGTGTTGTTTTGATGCGTCGCTGGTTGGTATTGGGATCCGTCCCCGTCGGGGGGCAACAACGGCTGCGGAGCGACCTATGATGAAAGAAAGCGCTTCACTCAGCATTACGGCAAAGAGCTGTTCAAGGGCATGTCCCCCTCTTGATAGTCCAGTCAATCCATCAAGAGCACCAACGAGGATGCCTAACGTTTTGCCCCAGTGCTCAGCCCCTCCTCGTCGTGCTGCCAATATCCGCTGCACTGAATGAAGATGTAGGTGTCAGTCTGGGAAACTCGACCCAGCGTCCTTCATGTGTGCGGCATGTCCAAGCGTATCACGGTGTTTCAGAAGGAACTGCATCCCCCCCTCCCCCTCCCCATGGGCAGCATTTTCCCGAAAGAGCGGTCACCCTTAATTACAAGTCGAATCGAAGGCAGCCTGATTTCTCATGTAAAAAAAAAAAGGTGTCCTCTTGAGTACTGAACCAAGTCGTCATGAGAGGCAAGCACGACTCGAGGACAAAAACGTGTCTCGGGCATCGGGACAAAAACTGAGCAAAACATTGCCTTTGAGGAAAGCACTCCAACAGCAACAATGGCAACGGCAACGATCGACGAGACCTTACGTAACCACGTCCCTCAGAAGACGAGTGCTGCACTGTTTGGAAGGGTACACATGAGAATGCCGAGGACCCTGCGATGGGAGCTATCGCAATGTCTTCACAACCAACAAGATTGTTCGACCGGGTATATCATCAATCCTCTTTATATGCCAGAGTACACTACAATGTACTGATCACGTTTCTCCTGACATGAAATCACACGAAAAACATTATACTTTGAGCTCGATGTGTTCCGTGCACATGTGCTATTTGTTTGCAGTCCGGACGAGTCCTACTGTTTAGTAGCGAAGCCGCCGCCGATATTTCATAATACCACAATTACTGCCGCTATCATCGTTGCGACAGCCAGACTTTGTGTATCCCCCAGGACACATTACAATCATGCAAGTGGGGACACTATGTACATGCAAGAAGGTGTACAATGATGGAAAGCGTGAGACTAGCGCGGCTTTACCGTTTCGTGTTCGTTCGTACAAAGGAAAGGCACGCCCTTACACTCACACAAAAAACAGAACGCTAGACATGACCCAGCAACAAAGACTTCCATCACCATCATCGGGAAACAAGTGGACAAACAAAAACCTATGCCAACAGCGTCATCTGTCGGTAGGCGGCGTGATTTTTCGCCCTGTACACCGCAAGGAGGAAGACCTAGCAAATTGACAACAACATCAGACACATGACGCAAGCAAGAAATGCTTGCCAAAAAAATCCAAAACACGCAACACACGATCGACCAAATGCACAAACAGGCAAGATGGATGGAGAGAGTCTCAGCCCTATCCTTTCCCATTTCGTCTTTTTTTCACCTAATCCGTCTTGTCTTTGCGGACACGGACTCCTCCCTCTCCTGCACACACGGCAATGGATGGCCCAATGACAACGCTACCATCTGCCCATTGCTTCATAATTGCTCCACATTTACAGCAGTCGCTCGTGTTGCCTCATCCACGAACAAACAGACCCGACCAATCGTTCAACTCAACAACACACGACGTTCAACAGCACCCCCGTCACCAAACTCAAACTCAGGATCGACCCTGCAAACCGGTAGGCCCATCCATGAAGAACCATTCAGCTCATCATCAGTCGTTAGTGATCCATGAGATAGTCCGAGCTTTCCAACGGCAGCGCGCCCTGCTGGAAGCGCTTCACGGCAACGTCCATTTCTCCCCTTGCAACCGCCAGCGCTTGTAAGCACGCCTGGTCAAGAGAACGAGGAGGGGATGACGCAGGAAAGTGCGACGGGGGAGAGGGGGGGGAAGGGATACTCGTCAGTTTTGCGTGCCTTGGCGGTTCGACCATTGGCCACGCGTCCTCGAGAGGACGGAGCGTTGTTCGCTCACACAGGACCCAACACCGATGGCCCATGTGTATTCAGTTTCCTGCCATATGACTGGTTACTTGTCTTTTCCGCGTCGTCGACAGCTCCCGTACGCTGCGATAGCCAAGACTCGTCCCACATGAGTGTTGTGGCCAGGCAACACAGCGCGGGCACCGCACTTGGTACTTGAAGCTGCACTCGGCACTCACGCACACCCTCCCCTACACGGGCAGTTCTGCCCCGCGAACATCAGACTGACAGCCGTTGTTGCGCTCTTCCCTCACCGGTATGCAGGCCAGGAGAATGTCGTTCATCCGGGGCTCGTTGGTGAAGGACACCCATTTCTGACCAAAAAACAAAACGAATCAGAAAACAGAAAACAGACACAAGACCAGTAATTGTTTTGGGCCATGCGATCGACAACTACGGTGTGATGTGTGTCACACGATACATGTTTGGAATGACACATCGGTTGCGTAATCAAAACTGCTACAGCAACCCCCAATACTTTTGTACTGCACGCAAAAACAGCACCAACAAGTTCTCGGTCGGGGCAGGCCGGTGGGGGCGCTGAGCGCAAACACTACTCGCATGTCCAGACGTTCGCTGGTCTATACGGCCAGTATTGGCTCAGAAAAGCACACAAAAAAGTGTCAACGTGGGGAAGCTGGTTGAGGCGCACGGACAAGTATCTCTTCTAGTAGCAGACAACGGGAAATGCGGGACGCGGGCTTGGGCTTTTGTTAGCGGCCGTGATGCCCCCGGAGCCTCCCAATCTATACCGCTGCATTCAAAGGTGTGGACTTGTGCGTAGTGAATTACTGCGAGAAAGGCTACCTTACACCAACAACGCAGTTTACCGAGTGGCATGCACTTGGAGTTATTTAGTATTCCCGAAGCAGTAAATGTATAAACAGAGAGGGCTAAAACGGCGTGGTGGATTGACGAGGTGCACTATTAATGTACTATTAATAATAGCGTAGATGATTAATACATTTTGCTAACGTAGATAACAGACGGGACGTGACAAAGACACACCACACGACACGAAATCCAAACCAAGACCAGCGTAGACAATTGATTGAGCGGGCAAAAACGAAAGATGTCCAACGCACCAACGAAGGATAACACCACCACTAACCGTGTAGAGGTAGGTGGCCACGTCCTCCAGCCCCCTCGGGACCTCTCCCGCCTTAGGCTTTGGCGGCACTTTCATCACCACCTCGCCGCTTGTGTCCTCCACCCCGGCCACGTAGGTGTCCATCTTAACCACCATCTCGTCGTAGTCCGAGTACCCAAAGTAGTTCGGGCTTTCCAAACCCAGGTCCTGTTTGTTGTTAGGCGGCGGCGGTGGTTGTGGTTTGGTTACAGCCAAGGGAGGGGTAGCTCGTTAGGGAACGCGACGGAAGAGGGTCAACCTCCTTCCGCTTCGTTTGTGTTTTCGTATCCCGCGTGCTACGCACACTTCAAATCGAAACATCTGGGCATGCCACGGACTACACTTTCATGTGTGTCCGGAACACGGCACACGTATGCAGCGACTGATGTGCCAAGTCGGCTCTGTATGCACCGCACAGCTGGAACCAAAAGAAACAAGGGCGCGTGGCGATGTGACAAGACAGCCGTGGGGCCTGAATATCTACACAAAGTTTTTTTTTCTAATTGGATGATGTATGAAGGCACAGAGGCCCTTAATTGTGCACATACATGAGACGAGCCTAATAGTTGAGCAGAAAGACAAAAATAAACAAACGACGAAGGCAACTGCAACGACAACATCGTCACGGCCACCACCTCTGACATCGCCGAGCCTACGTCCAGACCACGAACACCACCAACAGCAGCTGCGTTAGTACCAGCAACAATCAACACCGCAACACCATGAACAACGACACAAGCACACGATTTCTTGATGTTTTCTTTCCTCACCCAGGCGTGCAGAGAGTTGACGATGGTCTTCATCCGTACCCAGTCACACCTCTCCTGACCCGCGGCCGCGAGTGCAATGCACAGTGCCACGGAGATCACCTTGAGACAGCAAGAAATCACCAAAATAGGTCAAGGTGGGGAAGTCGTCAGTGTACCAATACGTTGTCGTAAAACGAAAACGCCAAACGTTTCCTGTTTAGTGTGATGAAGCACTCTCGTTGAGTGCACTTGGGAGAGGACGGCTGAACCTTCCAGTTGTCAAAAGACGAAGGCGTTTAACGCAAGGTGCAGGCCTTTTCAGGTAGAGAGAGAGAGGAGAGACAGCAGCTAGGGGTAGAAACAATGCTAACCAAATTGGGATGCAACACAAAGAGAACTACGTTCCACCATGAGCGACGCATGTATTCACGCGGGCGATGAACGCTGTGCGCACAGAGCAGCACCAAATTCACACAAGACTACCTCGTCCTTCTGCACCTAGACTTAATCAATTGCACAACCTCGCGTACACCAAGCCTCTCCGGCGTTGTGATCTCCGCGTTCTCTCGACAGCTGTGTTTCAATCTTGAAACTTTTTGTCTCGTCTCACCAGTCCTTCGTTATCCAGCAACTCGTATCGATTCGCCGGGTCGATGTACATGAACGCGTCGCAGTTATCCACGAACTCCTTGGGAGCTTGTCTCCTCCCGACTCCCCTAACCACCCTACCTTCGCCCCTGGACCAAGCAACGCCATGACAATTGTTATTGCTGTGATAGTCGGTCGCTATTTTTGTTGCTTACACAAGGAGAAGCCGTTGTGGCCTGTGCAACCGTGGCCTGACCTACGTAGAAGGGCTAAGATCTCCAAGGCCCCCACCGAACGAAGCATGTCGCTTGCCCTGTAACTGCATCACGACATAGAAAAAAAGGAAAAGAAACATAAAAAGAGTTACCCCAACACAATGTGCGGGCGAGATGTGGTCAAGGCCACAAACACTATGAGAATTTGGGAGGCTTCCTTCATGCACAAATGTATGCATTTTGGTATTAAATAATTTCTGCTTCGGGGAGACGACATGCTGCTGTGACCACCACGTCCACGTCTCCCATCTCCCACCTCAGCTTAGCCGCCAACTCGGACAGCGACCCGTCGGCCGACAGCAGACAGAACTCGTACTTCTTCAACTCTTCCGATCTCGCGAGGGCCAACACTTCCGCCGTCATCGTGTCGTCTCCCAGAGGGTTCGATCCTGGCGGAAGGGGCTCGCGCTGCAGGAGCTTGTAATCGCGAGCCTTGGAGCGACCGAAGAGTTCGGACCGCCAGTCCTTCGGGACACGGGCAGGGGNACACCCATCTATGTGAACTGGAGCATCGACAACAATGGTAGCAGCAACAGCAGCAGCGCAACCACAACAACACCAACAGTAACAGCAGCAGCAACAACAGCAGCAATAACAGGAACAAGGGAACAGTAGTTGTAACCACAACAGCAACAGCACCATCAGCAGCAGCAGTAGCAGCAGCAGCGACAACGACAAGACTCACAAACGGTCCGATGAAAATCAAGCAGGGAGCCCGAGGTGCGACTGAGCATGCTGGCGCTGCTGGAGTGCGTGGTGAAGCACGACGGCGTCACGGAGGAGTCGCTCAGGCCGCATGCGGAGACGATGCTCAAGGAGATGGTGCTCCCGAACGCCGTTTGGCGGGCGGGGTTGGTCGCGGCCACCGTCAGGAAGGTCGGTGTTTTGGGCAGGGGGAGGGGGGGGGGTGTACTCATAGTCGTGCATGCAGTAGTCGTTGGACTATTGACCTCGCATCCCTATAAAGCTGGGGCGGAGCACGCCGGGTTCTCACCGGACCAGGCTCTCACACCACCTTGCCACCTTGCCCCCCGTCTTGCTGCACCCCCTGGGGTGTGGTGCAGGGCGGGGGATGCCTGGTCGGCGGGAACCCGGCACGGAACCCTCCGGCGTTGTAGGCGGGGG